CTGAATCTAACAGGTCTAATGTTTTATATCGATGATTTTAGAACTGCTAGAAATAAATCAGACCTAGAATTGTTTTGAAACCCTTGGTGTCAAGTTGATGTCTCATGAACCGTTTTGATGCAATTGTAAGTGTTATGCGAGACCCTTCACAAAACCCTTATCTCTATAAGCTTCGCTTTTCTTGCCTTAAAAGAAATGCATATGAAAAAAAGGTAATGGATCATGAAGAACCTGTTGTAGCTATAAATGTGTTGGTTGAAGTGTCGATGAGTATTTTTTGTTATGTTGACAAGCCTTGTACGCGATGCTACACGCCAAAAAATCTACGAGGACATGTAATGTGTATAAATATTTCAAATACTGTTCTCATTTCTAGTGACAAACTTGAACATTTTCATGATTGCAGATAGAGCAGATGTCAAAATTGGTGGCAGTGAACCAAAATTTGTTGAAATAAGCAAACATATCCAGCTGACTTGCCGGTATAATGCTTCCCCACCGGTGTTGGAAGTGCAATGGTTAAAAGATGGCAATGTGATAGCTCGAAATTATAGCGAGATCAGTAATGGACGAGTGTATATTACACAATTCACTGAAAGTCAATCGCAGCTGTTAATTTCATCAAGTACCAAGGAGGATGAGGGAAATTATGGCTGCTTTGTGACAAACGCTGTTGGCAATTCCTCAGATACAACGTCAGTAATTATTCAAGGTATGCTTTTTTGAACGATGTGGTGTGCAATGATCGTCAAACGCAATTGTACATTTTAATATTCATTGAAATGTTGTTTAATTCTTCAGTTGGTCCCAACCCACCACAGAATATCACTGTTGGCTCAAAGGGTTCACGAGTTGTAAATATCTCTTGGAATTATGGTTTTCATGGAAATAGTGACATTAAGAACTATACAGTCGAAATCAGTGAAGATAGTCAGATCTTTAAAGATGTGGATTGTCAAGGATCACTCTCTAGCAGTGCCTGTGTGGTTTCCAGTCTCTCCACGACTGCCTCTCTCACAGGTCTTCTTCCTTGGACAACATATAGTATACGAGTGTTTGCGACAAACAAAATTGGCAGAGGCAACAGCAGCCATAATCTGAATGTTACCACAGATGAAGAAGGTAACCTGTTCACTCTCTACACTGTTTTTACTATGTATGTGAAGAGCTATGGATAGAAGTTCTACAGGTACCACTAGAAAATGGCTAGGGATCAGGACGTACACTGTATTATTGTAATAATTAAATTTGTAGAAGTTACTTCACAAGTTCTACTTCGTTTGATGTTTTCTCTTGTATTTGCTTCTGATTCTCTCCAGATGTTAACTGATTTAAAGACATTTTACATTATTTTATGTCCGTTTTGAAAGAACAAGACTTGCTGACGTTGTTTTGATCACAATTCTAGTGTATCAAGCTATCAAAAGGAGTTCCTTAAGAGTTAATTTAATACCTGTGCAATATTTTTTGTTCAATAATCATTGTTAAGTACTGGGATAAAGGACAAAATTGTTTGATTCTTTATTGCAGTGCCAAGCGAGGCTCCAACTTTTGTTGTGACTGTTCTCAATTCAACGGCTGTGACTGTTTCCTGGCAGGTATTACAAGAAATTAAATGTAACCTAAAATGAATGTTTATATCCTTAGAATACTCATGATTCTTACTGATTTCCCCATTTGCGTTTTTCAATAAGAAGGGAAGAGTTTTAAACCTGATTTACTTGTCCACATAACTGTTTTGCTAAGCTGAATTCTTTACGTTCTGTTTGATTGTATAGTTTAGCTACAAGTAAACTACATTACTTTGTATATTCTGCGCCGCAGTATGACATGCGCGTCAAGCAATCAAACAACGGAAACTCTTTAAATGACAGCACGTTGACGAAAATACATTTGACAGGACGAAACTTGTAATTTTGAATTCTTCGTTTGCTCATGCCAATCATGCCATTACAGCGTATACTTTGCTTGGCTCTTAGAAATTGCATAAACTTACACAAAAATGCGAAGTGCCCTCAGGGAATAAGGACAGTAATATACCTTTATGTAGCACGTAAAAAGGAGTTGTGGACATCAATGTCAGTGAGTTGGGGAGATGTTCCACCAACTCATCAGAATGGTGTCATCTTAACTTATACCATTAGCTTTCAATCATTGACACATAATGACAATAACAAGAAAATAGTGGGGTATTTAGCATTTCGAACAAAGCTAACAGGCTTATAAAGTTCTTTAACTACAGTATCACAATACTTGGATCTACTATCGAGCTGGTGAGAGGTGGGCTAGGGAACTGGCACCAATAATGAGGTGCGAAGAAACTTGCTTTACTTTCGTATGTAATCATCACAAATACACGACTTCACATTAACAAATTATCACTTAGGAATAAACTCATATCCAAGTCCTGTTGTGCATTCGCTGCAACTCATTTTCTTTTATAATTACGTTTAAAACATTCTAAAGCCTATTTCGTGAACTCTCCTTTCAGAGCCTACTGCTGCTCCTTTAAACGTGAGAGGACATAATACCAGCTCAACCATCATCATAGTCGAGTGGGATGATGTTCCAGCTTTTGATCGGAATGGTATCATCACAAGTTACAACATAACTTATCACTCACTGACAGAGAATCATAGTAACAGTACAACAGTGAATTTTCCAGGACGTCGAGCGACTCTGTTGGGTCTGAAAGAGTTTGTTAACTACAGCATCACAGTGTATGCATCCACGGTGATAGGAAACGGACCAGCTAGTGATCCTATTGTTGTCAGTTCTGATCAAGACAGTAAGTAATATTACTTTTTGTTATTTTGGTTTTATCAACTAAGTTGAAATTGTAAATTGGCCATCGTAAAGAGTTTAAAAGCTGTTAGCCCTTCTTCAGAGCGAACGAGGGACTAACGCTCGAAACTTCAGCTTTTTAAACGCTTTACAATGGCCAATTTACAATTTCAATTCATTCAAAGTTTATTTCACAAAGTTTACTTAGTTAAAAAATTTCACTTAGTTAATAAAATCAAATTGCCTTGTTACCCCACCAACGCAAGACCACGGTTTCTTTAGAAACTTACCTGTTTCAATATTACCCTTATTTTGACATTCGTCTTTGCATCTCAAAAACTTAGCGTCTTTATGAATATATTTCAATCCAACGAATGACGCAAGGCACTTAATTTTTTTTGGAATCGACGCAAGGCACTTAATTTGTTTTCAATTTTTTTTCTAATCTTCAGAATTAATAATTTGCCTAAACCTCTCCATTTATTCTATGATTAATATCCTGTTTATTTCCAAATTTATTCATTATTATAATTTTCCTCAGCTGTTTGATTGTGCAATTTTTCCACTCAAACTCGTATTACCTTGTATTGAAATGAGAGGAACGTTATCTTAAGTGTCATCTACAAAAGAAAATTGGTTTTTACATATTTGCTTCAGAACCTTCTGCTCCTCCCGCGAACGTCGTTGGAGAAAGCAACAGCTCGACCAGCATCTCAATCACGTGGGATAAAGTTCCAGCTGCTGAACAGAATGGCATCGTCACGAGTTACAGTATTAACTATCGCCCACTAACAGAGAATCGCAGTAACATTACAACTGTGGATCATCTCGCCCGCAAAGTAACTTTGACAGGTTTAAGAGAGTTTGTTAACTACAGTATCACAGTGTTTGCATCCACGTTGGTAGGAATCGGACCACTCAGTAACCCTGTTATTGTCAGCACTGGCGAGGACAGTGAGTGATTTCCATTTTAATTTGATATTTTAACAAAGTAATTCAGGCGATTACCAGGGAATAAAGTGATATACTGTTTACTCAGCCACAGTAAGTGACACTTACATGTACCCTCTGTATTTTAGAACCTTCTGCTTCTCCTGTGAATGTGACAGGGCGTAACACCAGTTCAACCAGCATCTTAGTCGAGTGGGGTGAAGTGCCACCTGCTGATCGGAATGGTATCATCACTAGTTACGACATTACCTATCATTCACCGACAGAGAATCACAATGACAGTGTAACAGTGGATTATTCAGCTCGTCAAGTGACTTTGACAGGTCTGAAAGAGTTTGTTAGCTACGGCATCAGAGTGTTTGCATCAACGAAGAAAGGAGACGGACCATTCAGTGATCCTATTATTGTCAGAACTGACCAGGATAGTTAGTAATCTCTCAATTTGATAATTTTTGTATTTGATTGAATTTATAAATATGTATAATTAGGGTCCTTCGGTGCCACCCGTTTTTCAAAGGTTCGGAAAAATCCAATTTAACGTCCAATTCTCGAGAGCTGTTAAAACAGACTCAGAATTTCAGATCTACAAAACAAAACAACAATCTTAATTTCCTTTTCTTTCTCCAAGTTTACCAGCTTAAATTTATGCTTTTTTTAAAGTTTTACCTCTGAATTCATTTGAGCTCTGTTTCTATAACTTTCCTTTCAGAACCCACTGCTGCTCCTTTAAATGTGAAAGGACATAACACCAGCTCAACCAGCATCTTAGTAGAGTGGGATGATGTTCCAGCTTTTGATCGAAATGGCATCATCACGGGTTACCACATTACTTACCGCTCACAAACAGAAAATCACCATGGATTTGCTGACGCTGGTCCCACTGACCGTCAAAAGGAATTAACAGCTCTTAGAAAGTTTGTTAATTACAACATCACAATACGTGCGTCGACTTCGAAAGGCGATGGACCAGAAAGCAGTCCTACGGTTGTTAGAACAGACCAGGAAAGTAAGTACTGTTCTTGGACAGACTTTCTCTCTTCCACGTTTAAGCTTTTACACTGAAACATCACTATTTATATCTTTCTTATTGCTCTCTTTATACATTTCCTAGGGTTGCTGACGAAGAGATTTTGTTTAACAATAAATAGCTTCTCTTGTTGGTGTTCATTTTCTTCATTATTCAATAATGTGTGATTTGGGAGCGTTATTATTTAATGCGACAGCTAACTTGGAGAAATTATGCGTTTTTCGAAAATTCATGACCGCCATCTGAATTTGAAAAATCAAAATCCTTTCATTTTCTCTTAAACTACCCATGTCTATTTCAAATGGTGATGCTGTTATGTTTTTACTTTATAAGCTCGAAGTTGGTCGCTTTTGGATTGTCTAATACCCAGCCAGTAGTTAATTTATGTAGACTTAATGTATGCAAATAGTGCTTATTCATTTTAGAGCCCTCTGCTCCTCCTACAAATATACGAGGACAAAACACCAGCTCAACCAGCATCTTAGTACAGTGGGGAGAGGTTCCACCAGCTGATCAAAATGGCGTCATCTTAACTTACACCATTAGCTATCAATCACTGACACAGAATGACTATGGCAGGGAAACAGTGGATTATTCAAAAACACAATTTGAACTGACAGGCTTAAAGAAGTTTGTTAACTACAGCATCACTCTGTTTGCATCTACCGTGAAAGGAAATGGAGATCATAGTGATCCTATTTTTGTTATTACTGACCAGGATAGTAAGTGGTATTTTTCTTTCTTTGATCTCGTAGTTCGGTCAAAGTTATATCCCCGTTAGCAATTGGCAACTGAGCCCTGATTTGTTAGTTATTCGCTTTGTTATGACAATGTTGCGCCATTCAAAATCAGCCAAAGCTCTATCTTAAGAGGGAAATACACGAAACTTCGTTAGGCACAGTAGTGATATGCTGCTTCTGTGAGCCTCTTTTGTTTACTTAACTCTGGCAAAAGGTCAATGTTTTAGTACTCTTGACCACTCCTTCCCAGTCCTTCGCTTTGAAGAGTTCCTCACAAATCTCTCACAACGTCGTATACGTAGATTTCTATAGTTTTCTAAATCAGATTGTCCCCATAAACAGAATAGCTGTACACTGGTCTAAAAAATAACTCCTTTCTCACGTAATTATTATGAAGTGACTACTTAACAGTCAAGAATAAAATCATATACGAGTCACGCTCAGCTTTCGTTTCAATAATTTTGTTGCAGTTGGAATNTCTATCTTAAGAGGGAAATACTCGAAACTTCGTTAGGCTCAGTAGTGATATGCTGCTTCTGTGAGCCTCTTTTGTTTACTTAACTCTGGCAAAAGGTCAATGTTTTATTACTCTTCACCAGCTCCTTCCCATTCCTTCGCTTTGAAGAGTTCCTCACAAATCTCTCACAACGTCGTATACGTAGATTTCTATAGTTTTCTAAATCAGATTGTCCCCATAAACAGAATAGCTGTACACTGGTCTAAAAAATAACTCCTTTCTCACGTAATTATTATGAAGTGACTACTTAACAGTCAAGAATAAAATCATATACGAGTCACGCTCAGCTTTCGTTTCAATAATTTTGTTGCAGTTGGAATGACGTCTGACATATCTTAAAGCCTATCTCTTGAAATTTTTTAGTTAGAACCTACTGCTGCTCCTTATAAAGTTAAAGGACATAACACCACCACTTTACCTTAATGAAAATTAATTATTGTTTACCACACAAGTGAATACTGCATTTTACAAGCCCTGATTGGCTTGTGAGTACCAATCATCTGCGAGCAGACAAACTCGCACGGCAAGATGTTGAATTTTCTATCATCTTTCGCTAAATTGACAGAAATAACTTAAAATGTTTGTTCTTATGCCGCGGATAGAGTTGAATATTTATCACCACTTAAGTAACGAGTTTTTAAGTATTTTCTATTCCATACTTCTTCATATTTGCATAGCGCCCGATGCACCTCCTCAGAATGTATCAGGTTACAACACCAGCTCGACCAGTATTATAGTTATATGGGATGAGGTGCCAGAGGACAAACAGCACGGTGATATCATATACTATACTGTCATGTACAAAAATGTAACACAAGGCCAGTACAAGTCGGTGAAAGTCGTACCAATATCTGGAAATTTTCTTGAGTTAAAGGGACTTGATAAGTACACATTCTACGACATCAAGGTTTCAGCTGCTACCACTGTAGGAAGTGGACCTCAGAGTAATCTTATCAAAGTCCGTACAGACGAAGACGGTAAGTGAAAAAGGTTTTTGGTAAAGTCCTCAGCGGCCAGAACTCTAAAAAAAGAAAAGAGTTGAAGATACTTTGATTTATTGGACTATTTTAAGAGTTGCTTTACTGTGGTAAAATTACTATACAAATTGTCATTTGGGGACGGGAAATACAGTATGAGTGCCTTTACTTGCGTTTCTGTATTAACCGTTTATGATACTGGAGAAATCGGGGCAAGTGCAGCAGCTATATGCGAATATTTATCTCCTGCTCAGAGTTTCCTTTCCCTAATTAGCCATANCTTGGCCTGATAGCTTTTCCATTTGTACCTCATGATGAATGCATGTAAGACAAATGATAATAAGTGGTTGTCCTGTCTTGTTACAGTACCTACTGGGGCCCCAACTTTAGTCTCAGCACAGACACTGAACAGCACTAGCATACAAGTTGAATGGAAGGCGGTTCCTGAAGAATCCATACACGGCATTCCCATCAGATACACCATTTACCTCACTGGTTCCGATGGAAAGGTGGATTCCAAGGTTGTGAGGCCAGTTAAGGATCAGAATACATATCGAGAGGTTGTTTCTGGTCTTAAGGAATCTACTGAGTATTTATTCCAAGTTTCGCTTTCAACTGCCAAGGGTGAAGGTCCTCTAAGTGTGTCCAAATCTTCTGCAACTGAACGTGGATGTAAGTGGTCCAAACAGTATTCTTTGATAATTTTTGGACTATTATCAGCAGCAAAAAAAAGTGGCTCGTCCCCTCAAAAATTGGACTGAATGGAATACTATCATATATTTCTGAACTGGTGTCACTTTTTTCACACGATTCTTAACCTATCGAGTTTGATATGTGAGGGTACTTTTTTAGTACACTTATAAAAGTGCCCAAGATTTCGAAGGACACGCGACTTAAGACTCCTTTAAGTGAAATTTACAATTAGACGAGTTTTAATTAGAAAGTATCTCAAAGGCGCTCCATATGACAACTTACGGTGCGTTTTGGGACAAATTCAAGTGCGTACTTCAAAGACACTTTTAAGTGCTCACTTCAAGACTCCTAAAAGACTCCTTGATTTTCATATTCAAGGTTTCTTGTAAGTGTAAATGAACCTACAATTAGTTTCGAGGCTGTTGCGGTTCCTAAAATAGCGTACTTAAAGACGCTTTCAAGTGCGCTCTTTTAGCCCTTAAAGAGTGTTCACCTCAATGCTCTTTGAGTTGCTCACTCAAAAACACTTAAAAGTGCGTATTTTAAGGCTACTTACAATGCACTCTTGCAGACATTTGAAAATTCTCGCTTTAAGACTCCTTTGCAGATGAGGTCACCTTAAAGTGCGAATCCAAGGACTCTTTAATTCTGGTTTTGATTAATCAAAATCAAGAAAGTTTGCCAGCTGATATTGTTGTTAAACATGCTTTACAGTGTTCTATTGTCTTCTGATTCTTAACGCAACACTGTACATCAGTCAGTTTTCACTGAGGGTTTGCCAGTACGTACATTCTCCAGTAATAGGGTGATATATTTAAGTGCTGCAAAAACTTTTTGTTCCCCGTTTGCGTTAATTTCTGTGGACGGATTACACTTCAGAAACCACATGCACACAACGATACCCTTTTCATTTACCTTAAAGGGTAGTAATGTGGTCATGACACTGAACGTGCTTTCAAATCGTAAAAAGAAACCTAGCTGTTTAGGAGTCGTCTTCAAATGTGCTGATCATTTGACAGTACCCGGCGATCCAGTTGGCTACAACAGAAGAGAAGGACATGTGGACTTGAAGAGAAGAGAGTAAACAACCTATCATGCACAATAACACGTCCCTTCGGGATATATGAAAAGCATGTCGACAGCGAGGTAACTCACTGTCTCTCATCGTTACGTGGGTGAAGGCGCAGAAAACTGATCGAAGCCGTTGCTGAAAGGACGTTTTGACGTCGCTTTGTTTTTCTGTGATCTGCAGACCAAACTAGAACTATTACCGATGAAGCGAAGCTTAATGAAATGAGTATCGTGAGTATTCTATGGGTAGCTCAAATAAGAAATTAATTTTAAAATACTTTTTTTTTCGGGCTGACTTTCTCACATTGTCAGCATGGTAAGTAAAAGCAGGTTCTTATTCCCATATCTTGGAAGCTTTCTATTTATTAACCTCGGCACGTTTTGCCTCGAAAGTTTTAATTTTGACGGTCNTGGCTTAAAGGATGATTTATCTACATGCCTGCGCGCATATTGGTGACATCACAACGTGCGCAGTTTGATTCTTGTGACGGGGTGAAACCTCTTTAGGAATGAAAAGATCTTTCCAGGGCCTCAAGTCTCCATTATAGCTACAGGGTTTGAATTTTTTGCAAAAGTGGCTTGAGGGAGACTCGGGAGACAAAGTTACGACTAGAAACAATGCACCTGACCATGGGAATACCTTCAATAAAATGAACAAAGGCTAAATGGGCATTTTGCAGTCAGGACCAAAGCTTGAGTCCTATGAATGAAGGTGCCGAATAATTATTTTTTTAGGCCAGACTATAACATACACTTACATATTTATTCTACATACACACCTGCAATGTACAGTGATCTTGGTGTTGCCTGACTGCTGCTGCCATCGTTGCACCTGGCCAATAAGATCGATTAAACCAGTCCCTGATTCTGGGGATCCTGAGTCGGGCCATCCAGTGTAGTGATATTGTCGAACAACTCGCGATGCACTTTCCTGAAATATTGAGAAAAGTATTATGTACGTTTAATAAAGGCTGTTAACAGATATTTTAAGGCAGCATGTGATCGCTCTGAACAAGACTAGGAATGTCTGAGGCCATTTCCGAGTTACCTTAGCCTCTCTTTCAAACGAGGCCTGGTGCTCAACAATTTGTATTAAAATAAGATTAATTTGCATTTAAATGATAACCTATAATCATATGAAAAGACCTGGACTCGCTTTGAAAATAGGTCAAAGCCTATTCGGAAATGGGCTGTTGGTACGCGTTATTGTTGTTGTTGTTATTTTCATTGTCGTGCTTGTATAACCCTAAAAACCTCGTCTGCTCGATATTACATGTAAATGTTGGTTGGGGCACCAGTTGATCTCCCTAGAATTTTAGACCAAGTGCATATCTCCCTATAATACATAAAACTCCTGACTAATTTCCTAAAAAATTCAACCACATTTCAGGTACGTTTACTATGTTACTCTGTTTAATATAAACAGACAGTTACTATACATTCGCTGAATAGTCACCAGAACTAACCTTGGTATGGGTGAGTTTCATTTCTCTCATCGTGTAGTCTTCATAGGTCATCTCACTTGTCTTTTCCACTACCAAAGTTCCAATGTGCGTGGGCTTCTCTGCAGGCCAGTAATGGTGTACTTTAACCTGTATACATACAGATTTAGCTTTACAGATCGATAAAATTCAGCTAAAGTTCAACTACACAGTCAGAACTCTTACGGATTTATTCTCCTTTAAGCGATGACTCTAAAGGCCAAGCCTCTGTGATAACTTATTACAGGTTAGGATCAGTATTCAGATTTGATACGTGGTCTTAAGTCTTTATTCCCTACAAACGTAACGAGGAAATGGATGCATCTATCAAATCGATGGTAATTAATTAATTACGTTTACATCAACTTCGAAGGAGTGATGGCTGCGAAGCGATCAGTCACACACCGCTTCGGCGAAGTGGACCGACAAACTTTTATAGTTTAACACGTATCAGAGGTCTTACTGCACATTAGGAGTCCCCATTTATAAGGAAACAAAGCTTTTTTCGAGATCTCTCGGAAGAGAGTTGCTCACGAAAGTCAACTGGTAGAAATACTTATTCATGCAAGATCGACATAAAAGGGATCACCAAAACTC